CTTGTCGCAATAGGTTTTTGAGAAATTCAAGGGGTTGACTACCATGAGACCTTCTGATGCGTAGTGATGCATAAGTCCGTCCGAATCATGTTAGCAATTGCCGCCTTTTATGATTATGAAATCTGGTAAATGGACGTCAAAACTGCATTCCTCAATGGATTTTTTAAAGAAGAGTTGTATATGATGCAACCAGAAGGTTTTATCGATCCTAAAGTTTCTAATAAAGTGTGCCAGCTCCAGCGATCAATCTACGGACTAGTGCAAGCATCTCGGAGTTGGAATATAGGCTTTGATGAGGTGATCAATGCATATGGTTTTATACAAACTTTCGGTGAAGCATGTATTTACAAGAGAGTGAGTGGGAGCTCTGTAGCATTTCTAATATTATATGTAGATGACATATTGTTGATTAGAAATGATATAGAATTTCTGGATAACATAAAAGGATACTTGAATAAGAGTTTTTCAATGAAAGACCTCAGTCAAGGTACTTATATATTGGGCATCAAGATCTATAGGGATAGATCGAGACGCTTAATAGGACTTTCAAAAAGCACATACCATGACAAGATTTTGAAGAAGTTCAAAATGGATCAGACAAAGAAAGAGTTCTTGCCTATGTTGCAAGGTGTGAAGTTGAGTAAGACTCAAATCCCGACCACGACATAAGATAGAGAGATAATGAAAGTCATTCCCTATGCCTCAGCCATAGGTTCTATAAAGTATGACATGTTGTGTACTAGACCTATTGTGTACCTTGCCATGAGTTTAGCAAGGGGTACAATAGTGATCCAGGAGTAGATCACTGGATAGCGGTCAAAATGATCCTTATCTACCTAAGACGACTAAGGAATTTTTTCTCGGTTATGGAGGTGATAAGTAATTCACTACTAGGGAAAACCTTATACACAGAATCTTACCAGCAGTGCAGTTTAAAAACAAACGCGCTACTGCTACCGAGCAGTAGCACGCTATGGAAGACCGCACTACTAATATAACAGTAGCAGTAGAGCGCTAGGTGAAAAGAGTGCTACTACTACAATTGCCAGGGTGTTGCCTCCTGACTAGGTACAGTAGTAGCGCACTTTCCTAAGACACGCTACTGCTAACGTGTGTAGCAGTAGCGCGTTTCGCCAACACACGTTGTTTCTAAGTATCATCCCCTCTTGCAACTAAGTTTAGTACCATACTGCTAAGCGATCAGGGTGTTTACCACCTTAAATATGTTAATTCTCAAACTATCACAAGCACTTGGTCTTCATTGAACTCTATGTGTAGGATTTGTGCCTGCAATATGAATCTTCACCTGTACCTAAACATGTGAGGATTCATGTTGATTATTTAGATTATACACAAAAAGATCATTCATGACCGATGTTTTTTTATGTTTATTCTTACATGCTTAGCCTTAGCAGTAGCGCATTTTAAAATAAGGCGCTTCTGGTATGGCATAGCAGTAGCGCTTCTTGACTGAAAGGCGCTACTGCTATCGCGTTTAGTAGTAGCACGTTACCATAAAACGTGCTACTACCCCTCCTAAATCCCCTCCCTCCTCCATCCCACTGCCGTCGCCCCCTCACTCGATCTCACTCAGTCACACTCATACTCCCTCACTCTCCTCCATCAATCCACTCCCTCCGTCCGCCGTCCCCCCCGCGCTGCCGTCTCCCGTGCCAGTCCTCCCCCACCGGCCGCCCTTACCCGCGCCGACCGCCCCCCGCGCCGACCGTCCTCCATCGAGAGGTACTCCTCCTCCCTAGTTTATTTTGAACCCTAGCTAGTTGAAAAATGTAGGTTAAATCTTAGAATAATGTAGTAGGTTATGATCTTAGGTGTTTAATCTTTGGTGTTTATACTTAGAATAATGTAGTATGAACCCTAGCTAGTTATGATCGAACCACGTTCAAAATATAGGTTTTTAATTAGGTGTAGTTAATATAATTTAGGTATTTTAGGTGTTTAATATTAGAATAATGTAGTATGAACCCTCATTATGATTGAACCATGTTCAAAATGTAGGTTTTTAAATAGGTGTAGTTAATAAAATTTAGGTGTATTTATACGAATTCTAGGTTGATTCGTTTTGAAGTGGACATGTCATATTTTGAACATGTCACATTTGTTGTTATTTTATTATTTAAAGAAATTATTCCCGCATCAATGTCGATGATGCCTATCCCGCATCCTCATCGTCAACTCAGCGGAAGAGGCCTGCTTAATCAAAGGGGCCATGTACGGGATTGGGCTCCGTCGGGCTGGTACTGGGAGGTGCTACCTTCCAGGGGGCGCAGCTTGGTGAGGAGCTAGCCCATCATTGACCGAACTTCTTTGGTGGCGGTTGCGTGGGCCACTAATGGTGGGGAGGCTTTCGTCCCCCATGGAGGTGGTACGTCACCGAGTCAGCGAGGAGGACGAGCACGTCTGTCGCTACATGGTTGCGTTGGAGGTCAGGTTCGACAATACCTGGCAGGTTCTTCAAGGATCTCTCTGGAGCTATGATCCTATGATGGTTCCTTCTCTTGTGTGTCCACCGCTGGCGCCGATACCCGTCGTTCGTTAGGGTTGTAGCGGTATTAGTGATGTTATATGTATGATACTGTTCGAGTTGTATTAGTGGTAATATTCGATGATGTACGGACGCAAGAGATGATTTAGTTTTGCTTATTGAATGCATGCTAATTTGAATACTAATTTATTTTATGATTTAGTTTTTGATTATTGAATGCTCAAATTGGAAAACTACTCCTATTTTGAATGCTAAAATTGGAGAGCACTATGCAAGGGGTATGCATTTGATTAGTTGATAGCTTATAGGGTTTCACTAACACTACTAGGAAAAGGGCTAGAGATAGGACTGATTCTAATGGCGCACCAGGTAAGTAGTGCGCCACTACTATATACTAATGGCGCACCGGTTGCTCGTGCGCCATTAGTGTGGAAGACAGTAATGGCGCACCGTGATCATGGTGCGCCACTACTATTGATTTTTTCCCCATTTTTCCATACAAACTAATGGCGCAGGAATGGCAAAGTGCGCCATTACTAGTTAGAACTTGTAATGGCGCACGACCAAGACAGTGCGCCATTAGTATATAATTTTTTTTGTACTTTTTTGCAAACCTACTAAGGGCGCACTATGCCAAAGCCCAGTCGTGTTTATACCCGAAGCCAAATCCAAGACCGCGCGCCCAAACGTCACCGCGAAAAATGAGCCATGGGTACTGGCTTCCCAAGTGGACCAATGCTTCTTCATTACCGACCCGCCAAAGCCCAGTCGTGTTGTCGTGAGGAGAGGCAAAAGGAAGATCATCGGAATGGATGGAGTAGCCAATGAGCAAGACTTCGACAAGTACGGCGACCCGAAGATCAAACATGACGACGACGATGAAGTAGCAACACACACCACAAGAAGAAGCAGGACCACCCTACCTAAAGGACGTCCGTTCCATAGAAGAACTCCATTTGCGAAAAAGAAGGGCAAGAAGATTGTGAACAGATAGCTAGCTAAGATCGATTGTATTTAAATCGTAGTCTTCATTTCTCGATTGTATTTCATGGGCACTTTTTGATATCATGAATATTTTTAAATTTCATGGGCACTTTTTGAAATCATGAGGACACTTGATCTCGATCACCCTCCATCTCGATCTCGATTCCCCCTCCATCTCGATCTCGATACCCGCACCCTCCCCCGCTCGACCGCCGCCGTCGATGATATTTGCAAGTAAGAAATTTGAACATATTTTTAAAAAAATTATTACTGTTTTTATAAAAAAATATTACTGTTATGATTTAAACAAGTTTGAACATATTTAAACACAAATAAATATAAAAAACAGCATTTAAAATGCATAAAAAAATATTGGGGAGCCTGGGAATCGAACCCAGGACTTCCTGGTGTGTGTGCTGCGTGCTGACCAGTCGGGCTAGTGGGTGGGTTCTATTGTAGATAGGGTTAGGTTGTAGATATGGTTAGTGGGCTAGATTAAAACAAAATTCTAATGGCGCACCGAGGGGTGGTGCGCCGTTAGAATAGTCATACTTATGGCGCACGACAGGACGGTGCACCATTAGAACCCTCCCCCTAGCTATCCTCCCTCCCTCTCGCCAAATCCCCTTCGACCCTCTCTCCGGCCCTCGCCACCAGATCCACCCGCGCGCTGCCCCGACCCATGCCGCCGCCGCCCCCGCGCCTCCGCCTCCGTCGCTGCCCCCAGTCAGCCCCTGCCCTGCCCCCCATCACCGTCCGCTCCCAATCCACCCCTCCCTCGCCTTCACCGCACCCACCCACCCCCTCCCTCGCCTTCCCAGCCCTCGAGCTCCACCGTGCGAGGCGACAGGCAAGGCGGCGGGCAGAATCTACTTCAACACTGGGCCGGCGAGCCGCGGAACCAGGGCGCGATGGCACTCAACCCCTCCACCCCCTCCACCTCTTCTTCCTCGGGTCGCCGCTGTCTTCCTCAACTTCGGCCACCTCTGTTGCTACTAAGCTGTCGCAGGGCCTCCTTGCGCCTCCCCGGTGAGCTCCGCCTCCTCTCCCCTCTTCCTTCTCGCGTCCCAAGAAATGCATAGCAATTATTTGCTTCACTTAGTCATTGATGGTCATTCAGTATGAAATTACAACCTGCAGGTATTGGTTGGAATGTGTAACTACAATTTACAGGGGAAATGTTTGCAGTTAAGTTATGTGGTTGGAAAGATCATGTGTCATTAGAAACTTGGAAGCTAAAAACATTGCGATCCTCACCATAAGGATGATTATATCTTCCATGCCTGAATAGCTTTGCCTAAATAATAAATAGATAAAGGTAAAACTAAACCATGCTCAGCGATGAGTGATGTCAACTGACAACCAAAGCAAACTTGTTCATCATTACAAAAGCAAACTTGTTCAACATAACAAAAGCAAACTTGTCCAACATAACAAAAGCAAACTTGTTCAACCACATAACTACAAACTGAGACACAGTAGTAGGGGTCATCCCAATACCACAAGCAACTCAATATCCCCAGTAGTAGGGGTCATCCCAATGATCCTCCGCCTCTTGCCAGAGCTCCAAACCTTCTTTGGTGATTTCGATTTTCTTCCATGCCTTGTAGGTGACGTACGCATCTTTCGCGGCGTACTCGATGAGCTTGTTTGGCAGTGGGCTGTCCCCCCATAGTAGGTGGTCCGATTTCCTGTCGATCTTCTGCTTCATTTCCTTGTAGGATGGGTGGATGAGGCTGCCTGCAAACTCAGCCAAAGACTGCCACTTCTTTCCATTGTTTGGAACTCTCCATTTGCGCTGCAAGTTGACGTACTTGTCGGGGTTGATCTCTAAACCAGACAACTTCAGCTTATCCTTGTCGCCTCCAATGGAGAAGCCAACAAAGGTGTACAGCTTCTTCTCCTGCAGGAGCGGGCGGAGTTCCTTGGGCCTGCATCAAATTAATCTGGTGCATCAAATTCATCTACTTCAAAAACTTTAGAAACTACAGAATTAAAATGGGTTCAGTTGAAGCAAAATTCAGTTAAAATAGCATCTTCAGCTCTGACCAAAATTCAGTTAAAACAGTATGATCACAACAACTACTAAATGATCACAACAACTACAAGACAACATTCTGTATGATCAAAATAGCAAGCATAACATCTCAATGATGTATTTTTTTGCAATCTTTTGCATTACAAGACAACATTCATAATAGCTACTAAATGATCACAAAAACTTCTAGACAACATTCTGTACTTCAGAACTAGTATTGCATCTACTTCAGAACTAGTATTGTTATCTACTTCAGAACTTCAGAACTATTGCATCTACTTCAGAAACTTCAGAACTTCAGAACTACTATTGCATCTACTTCAGAACTTCATAACTATTGCATCTACTTCAGAAACGTCAGAAACTACTAATTAAAACAAAACTTCAGAAACTTCAGAACTTCAGAACTAGTATTGCATCTACTTCAGAACTTGATAACTATTGCATCTACTTCAGAAACGACTAATTAGACAAAAACTTCAGAACTGGATGTTTTTACCATTTGGTTGCCGCGGTGATGTGGTATACCAGGACGAGATCCTCCACGCATAACTGCAGAACTGCAGCAATTTGCGGAGGTTTGTCTTCCCTGGTATACTCGACATCAACGCTGATATTCCGAGGAAGCATGCCTCCGAGCCTCCTCCTCATCTTGCGTATCATCTTGTCGGCTTCGTCTGGATTGCTGGTGCATACGACATCCAGCAGCTCCTTCAGGTGGATATCAACCTTGAGCGGCACGGTGTAGTCCCGCTTCTGCCCAGGGACCGGAACATCGTCGTCGACCACCAGCGGCTCCTTGCCAGACGCCTCACCACGGTGATGCTTGGCAGATGGAGGGGAGTTTCTCCATGATGCCTCCGCCATTCTCTTGGCAGACGGAGGGGAGTTGCTCCACGATTCCTCCGCCATTCCCCTCCTGGCCAGCGATGGTGGAGGCAGAGGGGAGTTGCTTGATGCTGGAGGCAGAGGGAGGTAGAGGGAGGAAGATGGAGCGGCAATGGAATGAGGAGGGAGGCAGAGGGAGCAAGATGGAGCGGCAATGGAATAGGAGGGGAGTTACCTGGACGTGGGAAGAAAACCCCCTCTGCATCGTGGGAAGTTGCCAGTGGAGGGGAGACGTGGGGAGTTGCCTCGAAAACTCAAATGTCCTGCCCTTTCGAGGGGAGACGTGGGCCCTCGAAAACTCTGGAGGGGAGACGTGGGCCCTCCTGTTTCTGAAACGTCCAGGAGGGGAGACGTGGGCCCTCCTGTTTCTGAAAACTACACCTATATCTGACGAAACTGAAGGTGTTCTTCAGCAGCTGATTAAAATTCAGTTAACAACAACATCAGTAAAATTCAATTAATTAACTGAAGAAGAGAAGAGAGAAAGTAGAGAGCAAGAGGAGTACTTGCATTAACTGAAACGTTTTACTTTAAACTTGCATGCATTCTTTGCTTGTTTATATATATTCATACTGATGCAGTTACTTGCATGGGCCTGGCTGATGAAGAAAAACTTTATATATATTCATACTGATGTTGACTCTATAAATCATACTTATTGGACATGTTTTATGTGTTGATCCATCAATTGATCACATTGAGAAAGACCATCATGTCTCCGACCATTTTGCAAAGGTCATATCTCCGACCATCGTGTCGTGATGAATTTGCAGGTACCCCGAGTGGCCCTTGGGTTTGTCGGAATGTTGATTAACTTCCGTTCCGGCAAATTCGGGTACTCCATATGTCCTATTTTCAGCAAAGGTCATGTTGAAATTTTCCTTGCTGCATTAAACCATAGGTGGCAATAGAGCCAAGTGATTAGGCCCAACTTAGAATTCTCCTTAGCATCGATAAACCCTAGATGATAAACCCAACATAGGTGGCAATAGAGCCAAGTGATTAGTGCCAAGTGATTAGGCCCAACCTAGGGTGCCTCGGCATAGATAAACCCTAAATGATGAAAACTTAACTTGGCTGCCCCGGATGCCTCGGTGTCGATGAGAACCTAAATGATGTACGCTTAGGCTTTTAGGGTGCCTCGGCGTCGACAAACCCTAAATGATGAAAGATTAGGCTTTTAGGGTGCCTCAGTGTCGACAAACCATAAATGATGAGACCATGATCTTGTTCCTTGACAATAACCAACTTTTTGACCAAACTTTTTTCCTATTTAGAGCGAAACATGGCCCGCAACGTTGAGGCCGGTGGTTCGGGCGGCAAGCAATTCTGGGAGCTGTCCCAGGAGATGGAAGAACAACTTCACCGCTATGAGGACGCCGCGGAAGACACCAATCCTGATTACACAACCCCTAATGGCGTCGGGGATGACACCACTGATGGTGCCGCCGAGGATGCCACCACTGATGATGGCGGCGCACACACAGATGGCAGCCAATCGAAGAAGCAAAGGAAGGACCAGCGTCCGAATGCGCTCCGCACCATCAAGGAGGAATTCACTCAAGTACAAGGGTAAGGTTCCCGGAGTCTACGAAGACTGGGAGGAGTGTCAGAGACAGGTTCACCGTTTCAGCGGTAACAGTTACAAAGGGTACACCACTAGGGCGGAGGCCGAATATAGATATGCCCGCTATCTAGCGGGAGAGAGGAGGGAGCATTGGAGGAAACGGATGAGGACCAGTTTGATCGCGATGATGCTCATCATGATGACCACAACTCTCTTTTATGTGATGGTAGTTTAGATGATCGATATCGACTTGTAATGTGAAGACAAACTCGATACTCGCGGTCTTGAGACTTGTAATGTTTTATCTTTGTACGGTCTTTTGAATTCGGAGACTAATATGATGAATTGTATTCGGAGACTAATCTTCTATTGTATTCGATGAATCTGATGTTGATGTGTGCTGCTGTCTATATTCTGTCCAATAATATATTTTGTAACCTGTGCAAAAATCAGAAAAGCAAAAAAAAAACCAAATATTCAAAAAAAAAACAAATATTCATACTAATGGCGCATCAAGGCAGAGTGCGCCATTAGTGTGCCAAAGGATACTAATGGCGCATCAAGGCAGAGTGCGCCATTAGTGTGACAAAGCACATGGTTACATATGCCCCCCCGGGAGGCATACTAATGGCGCATGAAGTTACACACTAATGGCGCACTGCCAGGTGCGCCATTAGTATACCAGATACTAATGGCACACCAGTGGTGCGCCATTAGTAAAAAATTCAAATGGCGTGCTACTAATGGCGCACCGGTAGTGCGCCATTAGTAGGCGAAACCGGTGCGCCATTAGTAGGCCTTTTCCTACTAGTGTAAGTCCTAAGATGAGGATAATAATATTTTTGTTTATATTTTGTTTTTGCAGAAATCAAGGAGCCCTTGCATCATCCCGGTCGTCGTCCCCATCACCAACCCCCTCCGCCCTCGAGGTGAGACCAGCCAAATCTCCATGTAAACATGAGTCTTGTAAAATATTTTGAAATGTTTTTGTTCATATTTTCAACCATTGAAATGCAATGACCATCAAGTTTGAATGCTCATATGATGTAGATTTAAACATGTATATCTTGTGTTGCTCAAATAGGATATGTGCTTGCCCAAGTGGCCGGCCATGTTTGCAGGTAACAACTCCGAGTGGCCTATGTTTTGCCGGAGTGTTGATCAATTTCCGTTCCGGCAAATTTCAAGTGCTTGATATGTCCTTTTTTAGCAAAGGTCATGCCGGATTTTTTCGTGAATTTTGGCATGACTTGTGCTAGAATATGTAGGAAATATCGAGTGGCCTGGATTTTCTAGAAAGATAATTAAACGACATTTCAGGTTGACTTTAAGTCTGTCGAGGCGCATACATGACAACCAAAAAATGTGTGAGGGATAAAGTCTGCACCATATATAAGAGAGGAAGAATCCCGACTATTGTCGTGGGGGTTGTTTCTCCTTCTTCTCCTTGTGCTAGACCTTTGTTATGAACTAGAAGAAGGACGAGTAACGACCATCACCGACAGTTGAAAAATTAGTGAGGGAGTGTGTCCACCATATATGAGAGTGGACGAAGAATCCCGACTATTGTCATGGGGGTAGCTTCTCCTTCGTTCCCATGTGCTAGACAATTTGGTGTAATGCACTCGGGAACGAAGGTAGGAGCTACCATCACGACGGTCGAATATATACACCACGTGAGCTGAGAGTTTTCAAGAAAATACTCGACAAAGCGATAGTCAACCCGTGATGAATAACAATTATCTAATTTAGTTTTGTAGTACATATATTTAATTTTAGAAGTTTAATTTTTGAATTATGATCATAGGAAATGTCATCGAATGACGAAAGTCTCGCGGAGTGCGACTGGTGCGGCGACGACCGAGGTCTATGCGACATGCCTCACCTGGTAGAAGGTTGGCGCTTCAGCATTAAGCTCCAGGAGACCTTAGTTGTTGAAACGGTATGCAACGATGACAATTGTTTTTTTGTAATTAAGCATGACTTCTACTTCTTCAACGTGTAATTTTCATCTTCTACAATTTGACTATATCTTATCCCATGCCATGCAAGATGCTATGTCTTGGAGAGGATGGATTTTGAAGATCATGAAAGTATGGAAACAAAGATAGTTCAGCTAAGGACCTATCATGGATATGATTTTGCTGTAAATCTATACAATTCTTAGGGCGTATCGCATTTTGGTTGCACGAATTGGGAAGCACTTTGCAAGACATATGATTTTCATGAGGGTATGCTTGTCACGATGGATCTTGGTGATCCTATCATCGACGAAGATAATATGGACATTTTGGTCCTGGTTGATACGCCTCCAATTCTACCGCTGTGTGAGTTTCTCAAACATAGTTATTAAGTAATTTATATTCTTTATTTCAAAATAGTTGGCAGCTTATTTCCGTTGATAGCTTGTTTTCATTCATCAAAGAATGTGCGGAAGATGGTAGACAGAACCTACTACACAGATGGCGCAGAATTAACTTATCAGGAGAAAAATCATCCAATCTCATTTATTAGTGATCTTGAGAATTACAATATATATTACCAAACTCCTGCACATTATGGTCAATACGTGCCACTAGTGCACGTGTTGAACTACGGTAACATCCATGGAGATGGCATGGTAAGATTTTTTACTATTATGACATCCGTGCATCTTTTGCATAAATTCTTCTAAAACTAAACTACACTTCTAACTATGAAGTTATTACTATGTTTTTCAACAGAAAATCCTGAAGGATTGTGTGCCTCATCTGATGTTTCTGAAAGGTCGCCTTGATGTTATGAGCTTACGACTAGGTCATCCTACGCATCACTGTTGTTCATATTGGATTTCTAAAACCGATGAAGACATGACAATCAAAGATTGGAAAAAATGAATGGTCAGTCGTAGGGAGCTACTTGGAAGCAACATTGTGCGACGTGCAAGAATTGGGGACACGATAATCTCCATTCTCCATAATGGAGAGTCAGGGCCTATCTTGTTTTATGTTATTTTACCTAAGAGAGGGTAGTAGGTCCTCTTAGAGAGGAGTAGGTCCTAGGTACAATGTGTTATTATGTGCTACAATGTTTTAGAGTTGATAATGATGATGAGGAGGAGTTGTGATTATGACTAGTGACCAACTTGCTATATGGTGTCTCATTGACGAAAATGATGATCATGAGGAGTTGTTATATGACAATGATGTATTATGATGATAAGTTGTTAATGATATGATGATGATGATGATGATGATTTATTATATCATTGGGTGAAAGAACCGCAGATTAGTTTCAAGTGGATGGATCCATACACTTCAAACTAATCCATGGTTCTTTCACCCAGTGATGTAATAACTCATTATGATGTAAAAACAATCTCTAAATTGCTACTGTATGAAAACTAGTATAATGGTATGAATACAACATGAAATGAAAAAGAAATAGAATCTGCAATTATAGTAGTAGCGCGGGCACA